TACTTCTAGAAATCGAAAGGAGACTGCGACCATACCAGTGGCCACAACATCTTGGTCTTCATGTCTTCAGCGCAATAAAATTTAAATAATATTTAATGCTGTTTTTTTATCTGCCAGTAAGTATAAAATCACAGCCTCTCTCAATTATGACAGATATATTTTAGCTGCTTCTGGTTTTATCTAGGTCTCCTTTCGTTCTATAAAAGTGATTGGACCTAGTCTTCATTATTTGATCATGTTACCAGGATGACCTAGAATGTAGTCATGATTATATAGTCGATCATGATAGCGAATAAAAGTTTGCGTCATAACAAATCCTATCAAAAATATGGTGGAAGAGGCCTTGCTGGCTATAAAATTGACGTATTTCCTTTTACCCACTAGCGCATGTGAAATTGTGGCGCTGTAGTAGCATGTCGAAATTCTAAGCTGCACTGCCCTGGCTCGATTCCCGCTGGGGATGCTGATGAGTCCAGCATGAGTTAGAAAGTGCAGTCCACTCTTGATAAAAATACCTTTTGTCAAGAAAGACTAAGTGAGATTCAATGACATCATGAGGCATGCTCTTCTGACTGTGAGAAAATTCAGATTAATTTGTTCATCACCTTATTCAACCAAGAGTGAATACAGCTCTTATAAGAAGGGCAAATTTGGAAAATGTGGGTGAAAACTTGAAGATATCCTTTGGTATACGAGTAGTCAACCATACAGAAGAGCCCAGATCTACAAACTCATTCAGCTTATTGTAATTTATGCTCAGGCTCGGTCAATAAATCACCCCAAAAATTTAAACAAACGGAAAATGTGAATTAAGATATGGAATGAATTACGGCCTGATATTTTGAAAGCAAATTGTCCTGACCCAATCCATGCAAGCTAACGACCTTTTCCAAAGCAACTTTTGATAGGTAATGATTTTTCCTTAGACCAGAAGGCGTGAAAGAGCCATCAGCATGTTCGGGAGGATTAATAGCCTGAAAGGAATATAAAAGGAGTAAAAGGATATGTTCACCGACAACACTTGGGTGATATATGATAGATGCAGTAAAGAAGTGAACTAGAGGCATAAAATATGAAACTTGCCTGAAAAACCTATGCTTATTAGAATATACATATGATTGACACATTATATTATTAAATTGATTAATTATCTGCTAAAATTCTAACTAATTTTAATGTTGAAAAACGAGGTCAATTTGATTACACAACTATTGACGTTATAATACGTCACTGATGTACAAATTAAGGAAATGTTAGTATCTCGTTCTGAATAAAATGCATTCTTGCTGTTTTAAACGATAAAGTAAACTTTCATTAACAACGCTTGGAATCCACTTTTTCAACAAGATCATATTCTAGACATTTTTAACATTGTTGTCGCAACTTGGTTATATTGGAAGGAAGGCATAGAGGAATGCACCTAGTCCGGAGCCCATTGTATACATGATAATTTTTAAAGTCCGAGCGTGGATGTGGTACATTCCCAGACGTTTTGCTGAACAGGAGACTTGAAGATGGCAGGATCGGCGAAAAGTTTTATATTGCCTAAACAAACTCGGAGAAGACAAGGCAACAGTAAGATCAGCAAAAAGAAGACGACTAAAACAAGGTAACATCCTTAATTTTAAAAAAAGAAATCGCAGGGGCACCAGAAAGGAACAATCAGAGGTCAACAGGAGACGTCTTCAGTGTGCCTACTCAAAACAAATAGAGCCACAACATTTGTGGTTTGGCACACAAGAGACTATGACATAGGAAGTGAGAGACAGGGTATTATGGAAAGAAACAGGAAAGACGCAGTGAAGACAAGAGCAAGTTGCGAAAACAAGGTCAAACAACCTCTATAAAATGAAAGGAGACTGCGACCACACAAAAGTCCACACCTTCATACCTTAGAATCAACGTGTTTGATCATAGACGTGATTTATGAAGCACGTCTATTTTTAGTCAACAAGCTCTAGCCTCCATCGCATCTATCCTGTTTCTAAACGTAATGCCAATTCTATGACTTGCTATGCCCTTATCTTTTGCGTGGCAACCCACAAGCGTTGTGGTTCAAAAGTGGACCTAATCAAAGCAAGCAGAACCACAACATATGTGGGTTGGCACACAAGAGATTAGGTCATAGCAAGTTATAGACTTGGTATTAGGGATATAAACAGGATAGACGCGGCGGAGGCTAGAGCTAGTTGGCTGACAGTGGGTTCTACCAGAGACGTGGTGCGTGTAGCAATGGCCTGACCATTAGACTTATCAGAGGCTTTAGCCTCGAATTAGTCACCCAGACGGAGGGGATGGGTAATAACGCCTCAAGTAGCACAGATGGGGTGACAGGGGTCGAGTGAAATACTTGAACCAGGGAGGCAAATCTTTATGTTGGAATAACATATTGCTTTTTTAAACAGATGTGAGCGTAAATAGGTTGACAAATAATTTTTGAATCACAACTTATTCAATCGTAGGCGCATCCACGGAATATCACAATTCTCTTTAAAGAGAAATGCATGATTGAAAATTAGTTTTCAGATTTAATTTACAACGACAATATTCGTACTGGTTTATAACTAGAGTGTGAAATTAACAAAAAGAGTTCAGGATTCCAGAAGCAATCATTTATATCTAGAAATGAAGAGCAAGATGTTGTAGTCTCTAGTTAGGTTACCGTTTCCTTTAGCTTGCAGTGACCTATCCCCACACTTCCCAATCAATGTTTAGTTTTTGTCACATCTCATAAGTAGCCATGACTCAATATCCTTGGGCACAGAGATCATGTGAGTGCGTTACTAACCTTTACTCTTTATTTTGCGTCGTACAACCAAAGCTTGGCACCACATCGCCCAATCAGAAGTTGACAAGGAAAACTACGCAAGGATATATTAAGTACCTAACAAACTGTTTAAATCGGTCACGTCCTTTTCCTTCTCTTCCTCCCCTCTATTGTGGCCCGTGACGTTTAGAATATTCTATTTCGCGCCATCTTTAAATGTTTGTCTTTCTATTTTTTAGCCCCCTCATACCATATTCTCTTCGTTTCGGGGCCTCCATCGTTTGAGTTATGGAGGGCAACCTTTTTGTATTTTAGAGACAGACAACGTGCTACTTTGGAACACAGCAAGCTGCATAGAAGAGTTCTGGCTTCATTTTCGCAACTGTCGTGTTTTCAGGGCAAGCTAGTTGAAGTGTCCGAAGTGTTTTGCTATAGTAGCTATCACAATTCACAGTGTTGTATAAGGAACTTGGTGTATTCCAAGGGGTTATGCCTGCAGTATCAGTGAGTCTTGCTATTCTCAGCACCAAGCTACAACTCGTCAAAGAGAAAAGTAAAGTCGATCTCTTGACCAATTTTCTGCCAAAACGGCTGTGCTCTCATTCCTCTTGCTCTCATTGCCCATCTATCTACTCCCTGCCCACTTATCTTACTCTCGCTCTATCACAACATCTGACTTTGTTATATTCCACTCATGAGAAATGCGCCCTTTTTGGCGAGTTTAATATGGCGTCACCTGCTGCTTATCTTGTCCCTCCTCCCATTCGGTTTGCTGATCTAACCAGGGTATCCAACTCGATCGCCCTAATGGGCCCGTACATCCGTTTTTAATCTTTCTGGTTGACCGATTTCACTCTTTTCCAATCTCAATATACGCTTTGCTCCAGGAGCTAATTCATAAACATTCAGAGGCATCCCATTAATGCATATCTCAGGCGTTGTCTTCACTGTTCATCTCTTTGATTAAACCTGTAGTACCCTGAGTAAATTGTGGACGCCTATCTCTGGTCGCCTGCTGCCTCTCAAGTAGATTTCTAGTCTATTTAGCCATAATGCAAAATTTTTGTGATGGTTGTGATAATCAATCTCCCTAGTCCTGTGACCGTCAGGCTCCCAAAGTTGTAGTTGTTTCTCCGAGCAGACTACGCTTACTGAGACCATCTTTGCTTTATTTCCGAAACTTCCTCACCCACCTCTTCCTTGCTATATTCTGGTTAACGATATATCCTTGATCCAGGCTTGTCTTGTATTGTTGTATCCTTGTTTATTCCGAGTTTGCAAAAGTAATAGGCTAAGTCATCCTTGAGGCTGCCTTGTTTCAACCTCTTGTTAATTAAATCTTTTGCTACAAGGGTGTCAATAACCTTCCTAATCTTCAATTTTCTTGCGCTTTCACCGCATGAGTCCTATCGTTTTGTAGTCTTCCAATTTATCTCATGTTCAATCCGTGCTGTGTGTTCCGCTATTTCTGATCTTTCGGTATCCATTTCCCTGCAGAGGGTTTGATGTTCGTTGATTATTATGCAGATTTTTAACCCAGCTTCGCCAATATATTTCAGTTCGCATGCGCCGCATGTCATGCAGTAGACTCAAAAGCAATCCAATTAGTCCATCTTATTTATCTCTTCCATTCGGCAAATGCGCAAAGTAGTCATCGAGGTACCGCATGAACACTCTCGGATGCAGCTGAGAATGGGAAACCTCAGCGACAATCCCGATTAAGATGCCGAAAAAACGTCTGGTAATGTATCAAGTCCCTGGTCCAACGCTGTGCATTATGATAACAACTATAACAGAAGACTTCGGACAAGGTGCGTCCAACTAGGTCGCCTTGTCAATACGACAAAGTTGTGAAGACCAAGTCAGACCACTCTAATAGTTTAGATAGTCTGATTAAGATTCTCTTATAAATGATAGCTCTAATAGTATATCAACTTAATTTGCACACAAGATATTACAAAGAAATTAAGTAAACTAGCGGGAAATAATATCCAACTACTTCATTAACTTAAAAATGTAAAGGATCAAAAAGCAGTAAGGAATCGTTTCCTATGAGGAGATATTCAAAGGATGATATAATTAGAAGACCAAATTACTTTATAATCGTAATATAATGATAATATTAAAAAACTATAAAATAGATGGGGTTTTATTATGGAATCTCAAAATCAATGAAAAACAAAAAGTACCCTAATGCTACGATCCTGAAAGTTTTAAAGAAGGGACGAATTACTGACAAAATGGGATAAGGGCAGAATATACAAGGATGAGATAATACTTGCATAGCATAATTATCTTCGAATCAGGTTAGATACATAACAACTCATATGACTAATAATAGAAACGACATACCTTAGAACAAAAACATTGTAGGATCAAAATGATTTTGGTAATGGAACCTGATAAAACGTGCACATAATCTCCTTTATAAGCATGAAATAGATAAGTAAGTAATGTTTCATTATGAGGTATATATGAGGTAATTAAAATCACAGCCGACCACTTTTAGCATATTTGGTGAAGTTGTACTAAGCGGACTAGCGCTTCCACGAAGTCTGTCGCATAAGAGCCAAAGGCGCTAAGTGGATTAATCAGAATCACAGTATATTTCGTGGAAGATTTCTACACTCAAATAAATAATTAAAAAAAACGAAGAAACGGCAAGATCAGCAAAGAAGAGATGCCTGGAACAAAGATCTGTTGTGTTCATTAGAAGAACTGTCTCTAAAATATAAAACGCTTGCCCTCTACAACTCCAAAGATGGAGGCCCTGAAATGAAGAGAGAAAGGGAACAAATACTACTAGCAATTGACTTATTTTGAGACGGCAGAATACAGTGTGGGAGCTGATAATATAAAGACAATAATTGAAATATATTGCCAAATAAAACATTCTAAACCCCGCGAACCATGGCGGAACGGAGAAAGAGGAGGAAAGGAACGTGACCGATCTAAACAGGATGTTAGCTAGTTGATATACCCTTGCGTAGTTTTCCATGTCAACATCTGAGTGGACGATGCGGTGCTAAGCTTTGATTGGGCGAGATTAGTCACGCACTCACGTGATCTGAGCCAAAGGATGGTGAGCCATGGCTACGTATGGAATGTAACAAAATCTAAAAATTGAATGGGAAAAGTGGGGATAGGTCACTACTGGTCAGTTGTCAACCAAAGAAAAAGAAATCTCACGGAAGAAGCAGGTGAAGGACCTTAGAAAAACAAGATCAGACGTTTGAGATAAGGGTAATCAGCTCAGAGAAACGACTATAATTTATGGGCTCTAGTGCATAAAGAAGATGAATAGTCACAACCGTCATAGGAATTAGTCATTGTGGAAGGTAGATCGAAGCCAATTTACGAAAGAATTAGTTCGCAGACTATAAGGTTTAAATAGGATCAGCAATTCTGGAAATCAAGATCTAGGCAAGGTAGACCAGTGGGAGGTATGACAAAGTTTCTCATATACTTCTCAAAGTGACACACCTAGAAACTTTCACGAATAAACAAATTGATAAACAATATTCCTACTCTGTCAGCAGTGTCCGACATAATGCACAGTTGGATTTGGTAAAGTGCTGCTCATAGAAATCGAGAAAATAGAAAACAAGGCTGCAATTAATAATTCTGTCAATTTACTTAGGAATTTCTAGAGCGAATCATAAAATTACTGAGATTTCCATCTAGAAATTGATCGATGTCACAATTAAGAATAAAGGCCTATTTTCTCTATGTAACAATTCAAAGGATACAAAAGATTATGCA